CTGCCCCCCCCTTCCCCTCCTTCCCTGCTGCTGCTGCTGCTGCTGCTGCTGCTGCTGCTGCTGACCCCGTCCGCAGCATAGCCAAGTAGTCGCTGCCCAAGTGCAAAATGGGGGCCCCTGCTGGCAGCAGCTGGGCGGGCAGCAGCGCCTGGGAAGTCAGGGGCACCATGCAGCAAGGGAACATGCTGCTGCTGCTGCTGCTGCTGCTGCTGCTTTTGTCCAGGAGCAGGCTGCTGCTGCTGCTGCTGGGCACGTCTGCAGCAGCAGCAGAGGGGCCGCAGATGCCCTCCACGCCGTGCTGAAGGAAGGCCAGCGCATCCTGAAATGCAGCAGCAGCAGCAGCAACAGCAGATAGTAGCAGCAGCAGCAGCTAGCAGCAGCAGCAACAGCACCAACGGTAACAGCTGTTGAAAACAGCAGCAGCACCGACAGCTATGGCCCACAAGAAGAAGTAGCAGCAGCAACAGCTATAGATCTGCAGCAGAGCCGAAGCAGCAGCAGCAGCAAGTCTGCAGTCTGCGCGTAAACCCTAAACCCCAAGCCCTAAATGCCAAGGGTCTCGCCGTGTTTCCTCTCACAGCCAGCTTTCTAAACCCTAAATCCTAAACCCTAGACCCTAAACCCTAAACCCTAAACCCTAAACCCTACCTCCAAAACCCTCAGGTGGTTGACGAGTTCCTCCTTTGCCCTTTGCTGCTTCTCCAGCTGCCGCCGCGCCTGCAGCTCCGCCATCTTCTGAGGGCCCCCAAGGGTTTAGGGTTTGGGGTTTAGGGTTTAGGGTTTAGGGTTTAGAGGTGGGCCCAGGTCTTCACGTAGGGCCCCTCCATTTAACTGTGAACAGCCAGAAGTAAAGTACTCCCCTGCAATTTAGCAACTAGGGTTTAGGGTTTAAGATTAGGGTTTAGGGTTTAAGATTAGGGTTTAGGGTTTAGGGATCGAAGCCTTAGGGTTTGATGCTCTGGCTGCACGGCACGCACTATAAGGTTTAGGGTTTAGGGTTTCGCGCCGAGGGTTTAGGGTGTAGGTTTTAGGGTTTATCTTCCTCAAGCAAACCCTTTCAGATTCTATTTCTTTGCTGCAGCAGCCGAAACCCCAGGGCCTCGTGGGGCCCCTAAGGGCCCCCAGGGGGCCCCCAGGGGCCCCCAGGGGCCCCTGAGGCCCCTGGGGCCCCCGGGGCCCCCAGGGGGCCCCACAGTGTAGAGTCCCGTGGGCTGTGGAAAGCTTTTAAAAATCTTGTGTGGGAAACCCTAAACCCTAAACCCTAAACCCTAAACCCTGAATCGAGGCTGGGGAAGAGATCGGCCTCGCTCCGTCTTGAGTGGCGAAGGGATCGGCAGCAGCAGCAGCTGCAGCAGCAGCAGCAGCAACAAGAGTCAGCAGTTATTTACGTGCACATCAGAGAGTCCCCTTTCGGCCTGCTGCTGCTGCTGCTGCTGCTGCTAATTCAGTTGGTGGCTGTGAAGCGCCGCGGCTTTAGGGGCAGCAGCAGCAGCCGCTGC